AGTCAGTCAGTCAGTCAGTCAGTCAGTCAGTCAGTCAGTCAGTCAGTCAGTCAAGTAGGTAGTCATGTAGGTAGTCATGTAGGTAGTCATGTAGGTAGTATTGTAGGTAGTAATGTAGGTAGTCATATAGACAGTAATGTAGGTAGTCATGTAAGTAGGTAGTTAGGTAGGTAGCTAGGTAGATAGCTAAGTAGACAGAGAGTCAGATAGTCATTTAGTCAGACTTTTAATCAGTTAGTTTGATAGTTAGTTGGTTAGTTAGTTGGTTAGTTGGTTTGTCAGTCAGTTGGTTAGTCAGTGTCAGTTTAAATTAGTATTAGGTCTATAGGCATTTTATTTTTTGTTAATTTCAGTTTAAATACAAAATAATGAGATAGGAATGGGGGTTGGTATCCTGACAGTGGGCTGTGGGGGCCAATTGGCCGTAAATAACCCCCCCCCTCTCTTCCCCTAGGTATATTACGTGAAATAACTTGTATATTTTCACATCTTTCCATGAACAGTGGCCAGACCAGACTGAGGAGTAGTTTCCTACATACAGGGGTAAATACAGGATACTTCCTAGATACCGGGGTAGATACAGGACACAACCTAGATACAGGGGTAGATACAGGATACTTCCTAGATACAGGGGTAGATTGATTCAGGATACTTCCTGTGATACAAGGGTAGATACATGATACTTCCTAGATACAGGGGTAGATACAGCTACCTAGATACAGGGGTAGATACAGGATCTTCCTAGATACAAGGGTAGATGCATGATACTTCCTTGATACAGGAGTAGATACAGGATACTTCCTTGATACAGGGGTAGATACATGATGGTTCCTAGATACAGGGGTAGACACAGGATACTTCCTTGATACAGGGGTAGATACATGATACTTCCTAGATACAGGGGTAGATACAGGATACTTCCTTAATACAAGGGTAGATACATGATTCTTCCTAGATACAGGGGTAGATACAGCTACCTAGATACAGGGGTAGATACAGGATCTTCCTAGATACAAGGGTAGATACATGATCTTCCTAGATACAAGGGTAGATACAAGATCTTCCTAGATACAAGGGTAGATACATGATACTTCCTTGATACAGGGGTAGATACAGGATACTTCCTAGATACATGGGTAAATACAGGATCTTCCTAGATACAAGGGTAGATACAGGATCTTCCTTGATACAGGGATAGATGCATGATACTTCCTTGATACAGGGGTAGATACAGCTACCTAGATACAGGGGTAGATACAGGATCTTCCTAGATACAAGGGTAGATACAGGATCTTCCTAGATACAAGGGTAGATATAGGATCTTCCTTGATACAGGGATAGGTACATGATACTTCCTTGATACAGGGGTAGATACATGATACTTCCTTGATACAGGGGTAGATACATGATACTTCCTTGATACAGGGGTAGATACATTATACTTCCTTGATACAGGGGTAGATACATGATACTTCCTTGAAACAGGGGTAGATACATGATACT